CTACTCCACATCAGCAGGATGCAATGGCGGTGGATCTATAGGCCACAATCTGTGGGTTGGTGCAGACCCATATTCTTCATCCTACCCAATGGTGACCAAATACCGACCAGTGGCCCGATTTAAGAATTCTCTTATTAAGAGGTATAAATTACAAGGATGAGTGCACTGTAGCATTAGTTTGCTCCTGGAATATAAGGAGTTCCATTATGCATAAAGACTACTATATTATTCTAATTTGTTAACCACAAGTCTAACAAATATCTTAACCATAAGTTTTCAACATTCATATAATATTCAAATTCATTATAGGCTATGAACATATAATACAAATGAAAAAATATGCCGTGTATACACAGTCAAGTCTAAAAATAAGAATACATTAGTTGTTACCTTCCCTTCAACATGCATGCCCGACAGGTGCAACTTCACCCACATTCCGCAACCCATTCACTTCCTTAGTTTCACAGCAAGTATTGCACTCATATCATCTGCAGTTCGAAAATTCATCGCCAACTCCAAAACCTGCATTTAAAGATTTGTAATGAATTAGCCAGCTCCTTCAAGGTTGTCACTCCCTAAGTATTTATCTCCGTCAATTTATTAATCCTAGATTCTAGTATCCGAGTGGCTTGAGAGAAAACAATGTAAGATTAACAAAATTAACTGACAAGTTTAACATATGAAAGAGACGTTAGCTTCCAGTTCATACGTCATATTTACTAACAGCAAATGAAGAGATATGTTCCTCCACATGCCAATTGTTGTTGTTGTTGAGAAACTGACCCCAAGATGGTCTTGTGCAGGCTTTTTAAGCTTTGATCAAGCTGTGATTAGTCCCTTTTATGGTTACCGGCTATTATTTGCAGAAAGGTATTGTTACACAATCTTCGCCTTCTTCTACAATTGCGTGTATGCACAGCACACCACATGCTGCAGAAGTTTCATATATCACAAGTGCTGATTTAGCAAGCTCTTCATCACATGGATTGGCAATATGCACGCCTCACAACAACATTGCAGCAGCAGTAGCAGCAGCTGCCGTAGCAAGCATCAGCCACCAGGACAGCAGTAGCAGTAGCCAGCAGAATTAAAGATGAAGCCATTTTTTCTTTCTTTTGGGAACAAAAAATGAATTTGAAAACAAGTTACTGCAAATAAACATAAAAAATGCAAGATAAAATAGGACACATTGACACCCTATACTTTTTTCCTGATGATTAAAATATTGTCAGCCTAACCATATAAAACAAATTCAATCTTAGCTTCCCATGACCTATTATTACTTAGCAATTCATACTACACTTATACCCTAATTGATCCACTTCTTGAACCTGTATTTCTCTGTAAAACATACCAAAAAAAAAAAAAACCTTTATATAACAAATAATAAAAACTAAACTTAACACATCATAATAATTAGTAATGTAACCAAATTAATATCAAATGTATTTCAATATCCCAAATTTTATTCAAATATCCAATAATACTAAACATAAGAATCCTAAAATGTGTCTAACTATATCCAACAAACCCAAACATAATAATTCCAAAAAGTATATAAACATTCAACAAAATAACCTATAAAACGAAACAAAGAAAAATTAAATGAATGCCTATGTGCAAAGTGATATATATCACTACTGAACCATGAACATCCATCACCAACCTGTGAACAAAAGGATAAAAACATGAGTATTTATTAATGCATTAATTTCAACAATAATATACAAATATAGTTAAAATTAATCAGAAAATTGTTGTGAAGCTATTGTTTTATCAAGCTATTGTATACAAAGGTTGTAATGCTAAGATTGTAATACAAAGTTTGTATAATTTTATATTGTTGACACATGTTATGATTGGTTAAATAAAGTAAATCAATTTAATGAGGTGTCAAATTTGCCTCTATTTCAACCAAGAGAAGTTTCATCCTCTCTTACACCTAATGCATCCTCCCCGACAGTGTTACGTAGAACTAACCTTGGAATGTTTGCTAGATCTATCCCATTTTTGCTGCCAACATTTGAATTATAGTTTGCATTGTACTCATGTTTTCAGCCTGGTCAAGTAACTGCTTTCCTTGGTCAGCTAATTGTTGTCGCTGGTCAACTAACTGCTATTGAAGAACAATCACCTCGGAGTTAGGAGCCTCAAAATGTGTGGAAGATGAAGTACTATCCTTGCGGATCCCGTATCCCTTCAAGTAGATTGACCTCTTCCCAAGTACTTCCTTAGAAATCTGCTCCTCAAACAATGGATGTGTGACACTAGGTTAAGATTGCTCAGTGATCTTTGAAACGTAGTGGCCTATGAATGAAATATAAATAAGCTTAAAACATAATATCAAAATGCAAACATATATTATTGAAATTGAAATAGTTATGGTTACACGATGTTCCTTAGCTGTGTTATTTATCTACACTCCCCCATGTCGGTGACGTTTGTGGGTGTCCTCGAATAGTTTCGTAATAGTCGGTTTGGTTCCTTGTACCTTTCATTTCATTAGATTTTCTAGTCAAGCAATCATTTTGTATTTATAATTTAGTATGTTCAAATTTGTAAATCTACACTTATAATGATAGATGCTCGCGATGCAAATGATCTTGAGCCGTTTGTATGATTATACTTCACACAACCTCTTGCTTTCATCACATTCTTTGACTTTTTCTACAAATAAAAACAAAAATAGGTAACATTAATTAATATAGAGGAGGATGTTACTTTAGTAAATATTTTTATAAATACCTTCCAATCATTAGTTTCCCATAGATTGTCAATCATCCATTCTGAATCATCCTTTGTACAAGGATATAGTGTCTGACTTTTGAGGTCAGATACTTTGTCTTCGTTAAGGGATTTGTAGTGTGTGTGTAATCCACTTTTCCATTCATTGTATAAGTTTGGCACTTATGACCAATAATATATCTCACATCCACATCATTATTGTAGTCCCCAAAGTCAAAAGTTTGCTGCAATTGAAAACAATAAAATTCAATATATTTTATATATCATTGTGATTCACATAAATAACATGTTAAATATATAATACATATATTTCAAATTACCCCAACTCTTGTTACAATGGACTCTCTTAACCCAAAGGCAATTTCTAGTCATCCATCATTTCGGATTGGGGCATGAACTCGAATTTGTTGACCAAGAGCAGCTGCTAGTGGTGTGGTGTAATCCCCTTCCATTGCTGTGGCCAAATGGTTAAGTGTAACAGGTATTCGATCACCACGTTCCTTTCTAATCTTCTCCACATTCATTCCTCGGGTCAGTCCTCGTTCAAGCTTGTTGCCCAAAACTGGGATTGATGCTATTATGACCAAAATTTTATTCAATTTAGTCAGCATAAAACATGAATGCACTAAATAAATATTAAGATAAGAAATTATCATTTCATTTAAGTGGTCATTTATTTCTCACCTCCTCTGTTAGTCACAGTACATGGACTTGAAAGGTGGTCAGATTGAGGGGCGAATGTAGGGAGCTGATCGGGCCTAGTACATAAGGCGGGAAGATGGATAGGTTGGGTCGAGACCTCAGGTGTGATCTCTGAATGATTAACTTATGCAGCTACAGGTCGTCTCGGAAGAGTAAGTGTATCTTCATCAAGAGTACTTCTCTTTTCCCTAGGTGTTTGTGAAGCTATTAGGCGAGCCCCACACCTATTTGTTTTCTTACCAGGACCCATATGAATATTCTGACATAATATAAAAATGAATTGTTAGCACATTTTCAATAATTTAAGGTTGCTTAATAAAAAATAAATTTGAAATAGCTAGACATACCACAAGTAATATAACAAGTGAAAAAAAAGAGAAATTACTTTTTATACACACATCTATTACCTCAATCACTTGGGAGTCAAAAGGCTTACCATTATCACTTGAAGAACTCAGCCCTTCATCATCATCAAGTGGTTTATAGTCCTCGTCATTATCAGTTTCACCCACCTTTCTCTTTCCCACCCTACAACTTTTATTATTGTCCTTTTCAATAGAACCAAACATTGAATTCTTGAGGGACTTTATCCGTAGAGCATCAAATATGATTTTATTTTTTTGAATTGTTTTTTTTCTATCCTTCTCATATTTCGTCATCTTTTGGACCAAGCCGCTGAGCTTCAAAAACGATTTACTGTTTTTGGACATCTTTGTAACTATTGATATGGCATATAATTAAATGAAATGAAATATGAAACAATGCTATGAAATTTGAAAAACAATGCCATGCAATGTAAACCAAGCAATTTATTATTAAATTATAACACTAGTCCATGTAATAAAAACGCAAACACTACATATCATAATCTATATCAAGATTTATATCAGGATCTGCATCAACATCAGGTTGTCTATATAGTTCATCATCTTCATCATCATTATACTCTATGATTGTGTCATCCTCATCATCATTGTGAATTAAATTCTCTGCCATTAGTTGATCATTGAACATGATCTCAAGATACATATCATCACTGCTGTATTAAACATCATTATCTTGGATCACTACCCCAACACCATCAGTGGTTTCATCCCATTGAAAAACATCATTAGAGACATCATCCCACTTTGGTATATCCCATACTCCCCGATGCTTAACCCATTCAACGACTCTCCAATTTTTGCCTTTGTTGGTGTCATTGACGTAGAATACTTGTCTTACCAGACTAGGTAGAACAAATTGGTCATCTTTATACCAAAGTCTTGCAACATCAATACTTGTCACATGTCCACCGGAGTATATTCTATTCTTGTGACTGGTGTCATACCATTCGCATTGGAACAAAACCACTGTACCCCCATGCAAGTATTTCAATTCCCACATTTTAGACAAGTAGCCGTAAAAATTAATTTGGTTCCCATTATGGTCCCCTTCTACAACCAACCCACTATTTTGGAAGGTACGATGATTTTCACAGTTTCTAGTATGGAATCGAATTCCATTGTAGATGCACCCAGAATAAAAGTCAAACCATCAGTGGTTTCATTCTGTTAAAAAACATCATTAGAGACATCATCCCACTTTGGTATATCCCATACTCCCCAATGCTTAACCCATTCAACGACTCTCCAATTTTTGCCTTTGTTGGTGTCATTGACGTAGAATACTTGTCTTACCATACTAGGTAGAACAAATTGGTCATCTTTATACCAAAGTCTTGCAACATCAATACTTGTCACATGTCCACCGGAGTATATTCTATTCTTGTGACTGGTGTCATACCATTCGCATTGGAACAAAACCACTGTACCCCCATGCAAGTATTTCAATTCCCACATTTTAGACAAGTAGCCGTAAAAATTAATTTGGTTCCCATTATGGTCCCCTTCTACGACCAACCCACTATTTTGGCAGGTACGATGATTTTCACAATTTCTAGTATGGAATCTAATTCCATTGTAGATGCACCCAGAATAAAAGTCAATTATCGATCCAGGACCATTTGCTAATGACCACAATTTGTTAGTTACTTCAGGTGACCCTTTCCTTCGCAAATCATTCATCTACATAAAACACCATATAACAAGTGTACTAGGTTAATGTGAATTGAAAGTTACAACAATTGTATTCAGTTATTTTCTTTAGTATATCTTACACGATTTTGAACCATTTTGGAAATTCTTCTCATTGTACGCGAGTTATGTCACGTCCTTGTAGATTATGTACAATATTCTTCTGCTCCCTAACCAAGGAAATGTGATACACGCAATTAACTTAGAGAGTTCGAAACAAAATGGAAAGATTATGCATAAACATAATTAAATTGAAATACATGCTCAATATATGGCTTCACCTCAGAGCTATTGTACAACACAAACCAGTGAGCCATTTCTCGTTCATTCTGCGAAAGGTCAAGAGCCCTTGTGATAGGTGAGAATATACGAGCATTTTGGGTGAAGACCTCCATCCCGGAACCACGTTCACCACCATCGTCATTTCGTTCAGGTTTATCAATCCCTTTTAAGTACATTGAACAAAAAGTAAGACACTCTTTGACAATGTCAGCCTCAACGATAGAACCTTCTGGACATGCTCTATTACTGACATACCATTCAAAGTCCTGAGAAACATTCAACAAAAAATTGACAACGAAAATTATGCTTCTTGATGCAAGAAAATTACTTCTTAAACAATAGTCTTTTATAGGTGGATTTTTTCACAATATTTTAGTTATAACAAATTAATAAATAACCATATGTTCATAATGATTACGTTTCGATCGGGGTACATCCGTCGATATTGCACCGGTCCAGCAAACATGGCCTCACGTGGCAAGTGAACAGCCAAATGGACTATCACATCAAAGAAAGCTAGAGGAAAATTTTTCTCGAACTTGCAAAGTACGAGCGCAATTCGTTCCTCCATTTTTTCCAAATCAGTCTGCCTTAATGTTTTTGAGCACAATTCTTGGAAGAATTTGCCCAACTCAAATAGTGTTGTATAGATCTCCTTGTTCATAAAACCATGCATGCTAATTGGTAGAAGTCGCAGAAGCAGGACATGACAATCATGGCTTTTCATGCCTGATAATCTTCCATTTTTAGAAGTGACACATCTTAAGATGTTTGCTGCATAGCAATTTGGATAACTAATAGACTTCAAGAATTCACAAAAACCATCTATTTTTCGAGAATCCAATGTGTAGGCTGCTCGAGGCTTTACAACGGATCCGTTATCTTCCTCGATAGATACAATTCTTGCCTTATGCCCATTTCTTGCAAATCTTCACGTGCTTTGTACGTGTCCTTGTTTTTCCCATCTATGGCCAACATCATCCCGTAAAAGTTTTCACAAATATTCTTCTCAATGTGCATGACATCAAGATTGTGTCGGAGGTTTAGTTTCTTCCAATACGGTAGCTCCCACATTATGCTTTTCTTTGTCAAATTCAATTCTTTAAACTCTCGTGGTCTTTTCTTGTTGTTAGGATCCTTTCCAAATTTGACTTCCTGCAATTGATCTAATTGAGCCATTACTTTTTCCACCAGTAAATCCAAGGATTTCTTTTTAAGCTCAGTTAAACCATCAAACTTCTTGTCTTTCTTCCAACGGTGGTTATTAGGCAAGTAAGCTCAATGACCCACCCACCCAATCTTATTGATCAACCCGCGTGACAACGGATTATAATTACAAGGAGGGCAAGACAAATAACCTTTAGCTCTCCATCCGGATAAGTCACCATATGTAGGGAAGTCATTTATGGTCCACACTACAGTTGCATGCATCCGGGAGGTCTGTTCAGTGGAGGCATCACAAGTCATCATGCCATTCTCCCACAACTCCTTCAACTCATCAATCAATGCCTTAGGTAGACATCAATATCAGTCCCTGGTTGATTACGTCCAGGAATAAGTAAGGACATCATAGAAATGGGGCCTTCATACATCTCCAAGGTAGGAGGTTATAGGGCATGAGTATGACATGCCACATGCTATAGGAAGTGCTCATGTTCCCAAAAAGATTGAACCCATCAGTAGCTAGGCCCAACCTAACATTACGAGTCTCTTGCGAAACTATAGATAATGCAAATCAAATTCCTTCCACTCTTTACAATCATCCAGATGCCTTCCTACACCATCATCCACACGCTTATCACTATGCCATCTCATTTCCTTTGTCATCTTCCTAGACATGTACAATCTTCTCAACCTAGGTGTCAATGGGAAGTAACGCAATATCTTGTGAGGGATCTTCTTACCATTGCTATCATTTAGTTTGTAACCTAGATGCCTGACATGTGGGACATTTTTCCAAGTGAGCATTCTCCTTCCAAAATACGTGCATCGATGGGCTCATACCCCAAGCCCAAGTCACGTAGTAACTTCTTGCACTTGTAAATTGACCCTGGCACCACGTGGCCTTCTTGTAGGAATCATCTTTTTATCTCCACAACCTTGTCAAAAGACTTATTGCTCCACCTATTTTCTACCTTCACATGTAGCATCTGAATAACGAATGATAACAAAGTATCTGAGTTTTTCCAACCTGGGTACAAGCAACATTGGGAAGCATCTAACAATTTATCAAAGTGTCGTACATCCTCTCTTTCTAGAGTGTCACGCTCTATAAAATTTCCCCTCTGATAGTCCTTTATCAGTTCATCATAATCATCTCGATCCTCGTCATTCTCACCATTACTTTCATCAAGGTTATTGTGTTGAGGAAGTTCGCCGTGTTCTAACCAAGTGGTGTATGATACTATCATTCTACTTATGAGCAAATAAGCCTTCACAATATCATACTCCTACTTATAAAAGTTACAACAATTGATGCATGGGCACTTAATCTCCCTAGCCTCACCTAAATGAACCTTTACAAATTCAATAAATGAGTTCACCCCATCTACATATGGCTGACTGAATTTGTCAGAAATTAACATCCAAGTCCTGTCCATATCTGATCATAAGATAGTAGTTAATACCAATAGGACACAACCTTTATTATTATTATTATTTATTTATTTATTTATTTATTTTTTAAACATAAAGGCAAAGTAGCAATAAAGGTGCATCTAGCTATAGGCCTTTTTCAATTTTGTATCAAGGCTTCGACCAACAAGTCCTTTAAAATTCTATTCTATCTGCATATATTATGTATTAAGTTAAGTGTTTTTCACATTTATCAAACTAAAAAAAAAAATGTTTTTCGTTTTACATTCCTAAACTTAGTCATGAATTGGATAAGTGTCAAAAGGAAGTGAAATAGCAATGACAAGCCTAAGCCTATATGTTGTAGACAAAAAAATGAAACCTTAACAAAACAACACAACAGAAAGAACTGAAAGAAAACTTTGGCCCCTAAACATTAGAACAGCCACAGGACAAAAGCAACAAACAAGACAAACTCAAAATATAAATACATGGTCTATTTGGTTTGGATTTTCAAATGAATTGCATAATTAGATATTTTAAAGGAGTGTACAATTTGAAATTTTGTTTCGTTATATATGTTGTGGACAAAAAAATGAAACCTTAACAAAGTTTAACAAACAACTAAAAGAAGGATAGAAAAAGAAAGGTATATAGTAGGCATATGTATTGTTTCTCAATTGATTTATGAAACTCCATGATTCCAATAATATCTTCATAAAACTGTACTACAAATAGCTTATGCATTTTTCCTACAATAATATAAATAGTTAGATAAAATTGTACTACAAATACCTCAAGGAAAAATGTGTAAGCTCCTATACTTTCGTATATTTCCCGGGCAGCTAACATACAACTTTTTAGCAAGTCTCCAATCAAGAGAAGTGGGTCACTAGTCAACAGGTGTCCAACACCCAAACTACCAATCAAGAGAGGCATCTAAATTTAACACTATCAAGCCCACATTACCTTGTCTCCTAACCACGGTATTGACAGAACGTTTTCCTATATATCAGGTGGTAGAGCCAGCCTTTAAACTTTTACCCTTTCAGTCAGCACAAACATCACAAACACAAAATGTTAGGCTTATAAATCTTAGGCTTCACAATCTCACAAGATGCCATGCTAAACAAGCTGTGGTCAAACTCTTTTGGAACTTGACCTCACAAGCATCCAAAATAAATTTTGGACTTCTTAAAATCTAACACAAATACTAGTATCTTATAGTTGCCAAATCCTTATGGTGTAGCGAATATTAGGTCCTTAGCTAAAGTATGGCGTGGAGAGAGCAAGATATATGCAGCCTTATCCCCATTTCTGGATAGCTGTCAATCAACCTACCAGTTAAAAAATAGCTGACTAATTGTTCAAGTACAACCAAAACTTCAATGAGATATCTACAGCTCCAAATGTACAAAATTTACCTCAAAATGTAGGGTTAACTGCATACTAAAAGTAAAATGTGTAAAAGCAATTAATCAGAAAGAACTTAAAAGGAATATCCTCGAGTAAACTAAGATCTCAAGTCCCCAAGACTTGTAAATGTTGATGTAGGATAGCACATCATGAGCACTAAGTCCTTTAAAAAGTTTTTACACATATACATCCAGAGAGATACACACATATACACATAAAAGAGATAACAAGCTCTGACTCCATTAAATGGATTAGACTTTAAATTTTTTTAAATTGTACTCTAAGGACCTTACCAAATTCCACTGGTATCAAATATAATAGTCACATGGGAATATTGAGAGACATGAAGTCCACTATTGTGTGTTATGAAAAGAACAAGTCAAGTCAATAAAGCATCTTGATTCATGATTTCAATTTTTTAAAGTAGATAGTATATCCTTCTACACATGCATAAATCCCAACAAGCAAATGTAAGCAAATTATGCATTTCGTCACTCAAATAGAAAAATAAACATTAAAGCAGTTGCAGATTTGATAAAATTGGTGTTGTTCATATGTTAGAGTAGAGTACTAAAAGTCTGGGAGCAAAACTTAGACCGAATCAACATGGAGGCCTAGGTTGGCCAGGCTTCCATGAGCAATCATATTCCATAAGTCCTGCTAGTGCCACATGGCAGTGGTGAAAGTATGATCAAAGAAAAACTAGTAAATTTTAATTATACATAACAGTGACTACAAAATACAATATTGTTTTGTTCCTTTCATATAAACACATCTAGATATCATAGAGCAGGACAAAAAAGAAATCTCTGTTTGGATCACTTATGAGTGACTTACTGAATTTGTTTGGATTTTTACTTTTCTTTTGTTTTTTGGGGACTCGAAAAGTATTAAAATTACAAAAGCAAGAAAAAAAAAATAAACAAAAACAAAAAAAAAAAACGACAACAACAAAAAAAGCAATTAGAAAAAAAGTTGGGACGCAATGGGAACAATCTTAGATTTCTTTTGTTTAACATTGCTGCTACTCTTTGCACTTAAAAATGTTCTTCAGATGCTGAGAGCCAAATGAGAGAAAACAACCAAGAGGCTCTCAAACTTTACAAGAAACAACAATAACCTAGAAAACTATGTAAGATGCTTGACAGAACGAGCAGTTACAGAATGCGTAGATAGAGGCAATAGTAGAAGAAGTGAAAATACACAAACATAGATTCAGTTAAGAAATTGAGAGAGAGAAGCAAGGGCATTGAGATACAAAGCAAAAAGGGAACAAACTTGTAGGGGTAGACTGAAGCACTGATCGTCTCACACAGCAGCAGCAAATGGCACAAACCCTACGATCAAGAATGAAATCGCGAGGGAGAGAGAACTACGAATTGTGAGAGAAGCATGTGCAAGAATGAAATCATAGAGATTGATGAGGGGAGATTTGACGATGGGAAAAAAATGAGGGAATTTTAAGAGGGAAATGCCACTGCTTGATCAGCAGATCACCCAAAAAAAAAAAACAATTTGAAAACAATTTTTAGATTTTTTTTTTGAAAAAATTAAAAATAATTTGAGAACAATAAAAATCAAAATTATATTTTTAAAATTTTAAAATGTATTTATGACCTAAAAGATAAAAATTACACAAAAATAATAAATACTTTTTTTGCCCCAATTTATATTTTTAAAATTTTAAAAAGTATTTTTTAAACTAGTTTCTGAACATAAAACCAAACATATTGAAACTGATAATCTAACCATATTCTTTGAAAAAGTTTAAATTATCTCAAATTAGTCATCTCAATTTAAAAGTGTATTTGAGCTTAATGGGTTCATTTTGTGATCTAATTCAATGATCATTTTAATTTTACAATTCAGTAACTAAAATATTTAAAACTCTTTGAAAAGTTATAATCAAAACACAAATCACTAAATAACATCATTCCACTAGCAAAACTTTTATTGACGAATAGTGTTGTCGTCGCTAAATGGTTAACTCTTTTCCAATGCCAACTTGTTGTCACCAAAAGTAAGCACACTAATAGCAACACTTATTGTGTTGCTAAAACATAAGCCTCATAGCTAAAAGTTTTGAAATTTTGGCGCCAACCAAAATTTCGGCGCTAAAACAATGTTATGTTTTTTTAGCGACAGTAGCAAATTGTGTTGGTAAAGGTATACTTTTACCAACGAAATTG